TTTTGGGAGGTCTTAGAAGAAGTGGCTATCCTGGAGGAAGCACGTCACTGGGGGTGGGCTTAGAGAGTTCTTAAGCCTTGCCAGATCTTCAGTTTCTCTCTTGATTTCCTGTGCTTGCTGGAAGATGTAGAGCTTAGATTCCATTCCTCCTCCAGCCACCTCTACCACCATGCCTCCCTGCCATGATGGACTGTGATTCCCCTGAAATCATAAGTTCAAAAATAACTCTTCCTTCTATAAATTTCTTTGGTCAGTTTCTATCACAACAACAGAAAAGTAACTAATATATGCATGTATGTGTATGTGTGTATATGTGACTGTGTGTATGTGTATATATGTATTCAGGTATGTGTATACACATATATGTGTGTGCATGTGCCAGAGTATATGTGTATATTTATATGTGTGCATGTGCCTATATGTATGTGTGTATATGGTATGCATGTGCCTGTGGGCATGTGTGTGGACATGTGCCTGTGTGTGTATATGTGTATATGTTCCTGTGTGAGTGTATATGTATGCGTGTGCTTATGTGTGAGCATGTGTGTATGTATATGTGTGTATGTGTGTGTTGTCCCAAAACAGTGCTTCTTAGAATATAGGCTTCATACAGTCTTTACTAGAATCCTTGAGATATGACTAAAACCATTAGGAATCCTGGGTCTTATCCAGATGTGTCTCAAATCAGATGCCTGTGGTAAGTTGGGAGCATTTACATTTTATGTCAGCTGTTCAGGACATTTTCGTGCATCTTTCTGTTCCAAAAGCACTGGTTAGATGTGCTCTGGTGTTTCTTGAAGCCCAAGATTTTATAGTCAGTCATCATTCTGGAACAGTATACCTCTTTATTTCAATTGGTTTCTCTAATTTCCTTTATTAATCTCTCTACCTATTCTATTCTGACCTCTGAGTTTAACTGATTCATAAATCTCACTATGTGTTAACCTGGGGCTACTCATTCATAGACCCCACTATGCGTTAACATGGGGCTGCTAGAATGTTTTGAAC